CAAAGGTCTGTATGTGTAAACAGGCTGTCACGAGAGGGTTTCACAAAAACAAGAAAAGATCCATGTGCAGCAAAACAAATTCATTAAACTAAACAACGATGATCCAAAAAACTTGCAGACAAGAAACGAGCAGAAATCCAAAACATTGAGATGATACAAAGTGATCAAACAAACAAACCAAATCAAGAGGAACAAAAATACAAATCAAAAATCCAAAGGCAACTAAAAAACAAACGAACAGAGATTATAAAGACAGGACTCAATTAAACAAACAAGGAACAGCTGAAAACAATAAGTGATCACGTGTGCAGAGATACAAGCAAAAACAAAACAAATGCTAGTGCCCTCAAGTATCCACATGAGGGCACTACAACAGGTGTGACACAGGCCCTTTTTGAAAATACCGGTAAATTCGTTTCGGCTATTTTCCGAACAATGTAACATTACCGATAATTTGCTGGAATGCTGCTCTGTGTGAACGCAGAAGGAAGATTGCTGGAAAGAGCGCGTTCACGTCTATAATATGCTGACGTGAGACGTCTACTTTAGCCAATCAGAACAGTCAGATGCATTCACGTCCGAGCGGTTTATGAAAATAAAAGCCTTTGAATATTTTTCCAGACACATCTAGCTGCTAGATTTGTAACGGAGGCCAGCTAGTGTGGGTTGTGCAGGTAAACCTCACTCCTCTGACCTCTAAAGGTGCTCTAGCGACAAACGCTAGAGGCCATGGTCTTTAGCCTCCTTGGTAGAGCAACCGGTTCGATACCAGCTCGGAGCGGGTTGGGTGGCGTAAGACCAGCGGGGTTACAGATTTTAGTCAGATAAGGTTTATATGTTCCTTCTTAAAGCCAACTTTGTAAATAATTATCAATAAGATGCTTATGATAAGCCGTTGTTTGTTTATCTTCAAGCTCTGCTTCAATCAGTTGCTTGATGAGTCTTGTGTGCCCGTGAAGGAGCTGGTGAGTGCCAGCACACACACATATCATGTACATCTCGACATGCGAAAGTGTTTCTCCATATGTTTTCATCGAAGTTGTTCACAATACTTATCCATCCACAGAGTTTGTAATGTTGTCAAATGTTTACAAATACAAGCGCAGCGTTTAGAGCTCATTTCTGGTTAAAGATTTCAACGGCATCTGTAACGGCCTTGCCTGTGTGCACAGCGCTTTTTTTGAATTTACCAGTAAAGTTGCTCCGGAAATTTTCTGGATATTTACTGGTATCACTGAGTGAAAGGGGCTAATGATGACAGAATTTACATGATTTGGGTGAACTAGCCCTTTAACAACTGTTCTGTACACAAATATTTGGAAACTCTCTGACCTTGTTTGAATGCAGCTCCTGTGCAAGATCCCCACTCGTCGCCTGCGCTGCCTGGAGCACTTTCAAAGCCACAAGTTCTTCCATGGCATGTCTTTTGATTCCCAGCTGCTTCAGAGAAATCCCATTGAGCCGATCCTTGCACTGAAGACCCACCCTGACCTTCGGGAAAGGTCAATGCGAGGTTTATCCCTAGACCTGCTTCAGAATTTTGAGTGTGACCTGCTGAACTCTCCCTCCACCCCTACAGATTTATCCCCTACCTTGATGAAGATTCAGGTGAATGAATATAAAACAGAGTCTTAAACAAAAGCAACTGGAACTAATTCTGCTTGAAAAAGGTTGAGACACTTTTTCCTCTCCATTATGGTACATGCATCGTCCCTCCAAAAAAAAAAAAAAGACACAAGGCACAAATGAATTAATCGGTGTAGCTAGCCAATCAAAAACTAGGATTTTTTGCTACTGTTTTTGTGCAGTTCAATTTGGAAATTAGGAGTAAATATTCAGAAAGTGGAACCTCCATTTTGAGTATTTTTCTAATAGTAGAACTTCTGGGTTTTGTACATTTAGGTTCTTTGTATATTTTCTTGTTTTTTTAGATTATTTTTATATTTAAAGCAGTTACAGCGATGCCCTGGTTACAATGATATCATGAGAGTGATAATATTAACAAAATGATAATTACAAAGATAAAGAATAAAGTATTGAATTAATTAATAGTGAAATTAATTAATGGATTATTCAATGAATGAATAAATAAATAATAATTAAATTAATTAATGTAAACTAATTCCGTTGTTTTGCAATCAGTGTTTTGAGTAAATGCATTGAAATACTTGACTTCTGAATGAATCAATGTTTTGAATGAATCAACTGAGAGACTAATTCAGTTACTTGTAAGATCTGTCACTTGTTTTGTTTCTGAATGAATCAGCGTTTTAAATGAATCAGAGATAATCATTCAGTATGTGCTCCTGAAGACTTGTCATTTGTCTAATTCTTGAATGAATCGGTGTTTTGAATGAATCAGTTAAGATAATAATTTAGTGTTTGCCTATGAAGTTGTCATTTGTTTCACACCTGAATGAATCAGTTGAGTGAATTAGATAATGTCTTTCCTAAACTATAACTTGCTTTGCTTCTGAATGAATCAGTGATTGGCATGAATCTTGTCTTTTGATTCTCTCCTGAATAATTCAGTATTTGCCTACGAATATGCTATTTGTTTTACTCCTGAATGAATCAGTGTTTTGAAGGAATCAGTTACGATAATTATTCAGTATTTGCTCCTGAAGATGTGCCACTTGTTTCACTCCTGAATGAATCAATGTTTGGAATGAATCAGTTGAGATAATCATTCAGTATTTGCTCCTGAAAAATGTATTGCTTTTTTCATTCCTGAATGAATCAATGTTTTGAATCATTCTATTGAGATAATCATTCAGTACTTGCTCTGTAAGATGTGTTACTGTTTGCACTCCTGAACGAATCAAGTGTTTTGAATGAATCAGTTGAGATAATCATTCAGTATTTGCTCATGAAGATGTAATTTGTTTCACTCCTGAATGAATCAATGTTTTGAATCATTCTATTGAGATAATCATTCAGTATTTGCTCACGAAGATGTCATTTGTTTTACTCCTGAATGGATCAGTGTTTACTTGCTTATGAAAATGTGTCACTTGTTTTGCTGCTGAATGGATACTTGAATCAGTTGAGTGAATCATTCAATGACTCTCTCATTTACTTTCTTGCTTGTTTCTGAATGTTTTAGTATTTTAAAAAACAGTTACGCGAGTTATTCAATGAGCCCCTTACTTGTTTTGCTCTTGAATGAATCAGTGTTTTGAATGAATCAATTAAGATAATCATTCAGTATTTGTTAATGAACATGTCACTTGTTTCACTCCTGAATGAATCAGTGTTTCAAATTAATTGGTTGAGAAAATTGTTGACTACTTGCTCAAACAGATTTGTTATTTGTTTCACTACCGAATAAATCAGTGTTTTGAATGAATCAGTTGAAATAAACATTCAGTAATTGCTCATGAAGATGCATCTGATTGATTCACTACTGAATGAATCAGTGTTTTACTTGAATCAGTTGAGTGAATTATTTAATGACTCTTAAACTCTCTCACTTGTTTTCTGAATGAATCAGTGTTTTTACTGAATCTTGTCTCTTGACTCTCCTGAATCAATCTTAAATTGGCTTGTTGTAAAAATTGGCTCTCAACAAACTGGTAAATTAAATAATTCAATGACTTGCTAAATTTAATATTTCACATATTGTGTAGTGCTATTGCTAGGATAATAAGCAAAACAAAAATACATATACAGAGATATACAGTATTATGCACAATGGAACTTACAGTGCAGTGCAATATAATAAAATGCATTGCAATACAACTTGGGCTTCATGAAATCTAAATATTGGTTTACTGATAAAAAGTAGTTCACATGGTACTTATGTGAATGATTTCTAGGCATTACAGTAAATATGATTCTCAAAATACATCCCCCAAATTAGAAGCTTTAGAACATTGATTGTGGAGGACAAATGCAGAACTTCATGCCATTACAATTGGAAAGACAGACTGGTAAAATAATAGATCTGTGAATGATACCTGGAGACATTTCTCCAACTTTGAGACTTTAGTGTGACCTATTTGTGAGCGCAATGACAAACCCAAATGGGAGCAGCCTTAATAGGGCTGAAAATTGAACACCAGATAAAGCATCATTATTAATGTTTTTAATTAGGTATCAGGAAAAAAGCCCACAGCCCCAGTAGAGATGTCTTAAAATAACCGTAACTCTTAACAGTTCTCCTGAGAGTCTACTTCAAATGGCTTCAGTCCTTCATGTATAGAGGCATTGGGTTTCCCTCCAAACTTGCCATTTTTATCTACATTACCATATTGCTTTCAGACTGACAACTCGCATATTTATATTCATATTTCAAGTTATCTGAATAAATTACACTGTTTCTTTTTTAGAGCTTTTTTATTTTTTGTACCACAGATCGATACCTTGATATACTCCCGACTTTACCTCCATTAATCGCCCTTGAGAACTAGATCATGAAGTCATCTAAAAATTCTACTCACCTGTATAGAACTAGAAATTATGCCATGACCCCACCTCATTTTTTATCACACATTTGCTTTAATCTCTGCCGCTCCGTGACTGCCAACATTTTCCTAAGGGTACGGTGGTTGACTAGAGATTTGAGGATTTGCCTGAGGCTAGTTTAATCTAATTATAAAACTGACTGGAATGCAGATCACTTTATTTAAAAACAGGTGCCGTTCAAAAGAGCCCAGTGTCCATGAGATATTTTAAAGGATTACATAAGTGAACAAAAAACAGAATTTTTTATCTGGCAGATTATATACAATAAGCCACAGCACCTTAACAAGCACCCTCAAAGGCTTAGAAAGTGCTTAGTAACATCCTGGTTAGTTTTTACAATACCTGGTTTGATTACATTGGCAAATAATGAGACTATATGCTTGTAGAAAAATGGGATCGGGTGGGCAACCTTTGGTGGCCTTTAACACCTCCTCCAATAACTTAATGAGGGCATGGCGTTAAGCTCCGCCCTACAAGTGTGGGCCTCCTCTGGGAGATCACCTTCATAAAGAACTGGGACACTGGCACTGTTGAAGAATCAGTCACATCTCAGCTCGTCTGCTGGAAAAAAGTCTTCCGTCTGAGTCCTTCAGTCTTGGTGAGTACTGAAGTTTATTCATCTGTTGAACTTTACTGTTTTCTGGACTACAGCTGTTTTTTTAAATGTCCCGCTGGGGATAGTGTTTTTCTTTGGTTCATATTACTAACAAAATGTGCTGTTTTACTATTTGCAATGTGTATAAATTATTCTTTTGTGAATGCTGAGAATCATACACTGTAAAACCCAAAAAGTTAAGGTAACTCAAACTGTTTGAGGAAACCAATTGCTTCAAACCATTTAATTAAAATAAATAAATAAATAAATAAACTAGTCTATATAAGTACTGTGAACTTACTCCATTTAGGTTGAAGTAATAAGGTATTTAATTAACTCATTACCATCAACACTGAGTTCAAAACTATTTTCGATTGAGTAGAATTTAACTTTCAGTCAATTTTGAGTTAACTACACTCATTTCATTTGATGTTGACTGTTGGGTTTTACAGTGTAGATATTAGTTTTACTACACTGTAAACCCTGATAAGTTAACCCAAACTCTTTGAGGAAACCAATTGCGGCATACCTTTTAGTTTGAAACAAAATGATTTAAGTATTGTAAACTTCAAATACACATAAATTCTTTGTGTTGATATCGTCAAACAATTAGAGTATTAATAACTTAAACATTTTAAGTTTAGTTATCAAATCAGTATGAGATCAGTTAAAAGAATGAATAAAGTCTAAACAACTTGATAGCTACTCAAATAGTTTGGTATTGCTTCTAGCATTAAAGATAACACAAAAATACAATTAATTCATTCATAATTCATTCAGTTTGAGTTCTGCGTAATATAATCAGTTTTTGAGTTGGCATAGATCTGAATTATAAATTAAACTAACTTATTTCATTTAGTGATTTCCACAGTTAGGTTTTACAGTGTACAGAGATGTTGAGTTGTTTCAATTCTGCTGATGGTTTGAAAGAGTTTCAAGTTTAGAAGCCTTAAATATATAGTAATTTGCCATCTTATTTGCCAGAGAAGAAAGTATTATTCAACTATTATCCATAAATGAGTTATTCACAAAGTAATTTCTGAAGGTGAAACGCTTGTTAACAGTGTGTCTATATGCTTCAGTTGCTAAATTTGCGAGAAAATATCTTTTTTAAACTTCTGTGAATGTGAATGTTTGGCATTTCAGTAATAATGAGTAGAGTTTTCATGTCTTTAAGCCATAATTTTGTTTGATTGTAATTTTTTAAAATTTTGTTTAGTTTCATGTTTCATTTAAAAGTAAAAAACTTCACAACGAGGGAAGGTTATAAATGTTAAATGGTTATAAACATTAAATGCTCAAACATTGAGACTAAAGTAGAACATTAAAAGGCACAAAAACCACAATTTTACTAAAAAGAAAAGGTGTCTACACTGTATGAAAAGGCTAAACAGATTTTTGCATTCAAAAATCAATACAAAACACTGTAAACTACTAATTCTAACAGAAAATGACTGTAAGGATGGCCGCTGTAAAGATCTTGTACAAACCTTTTAATATAATGAACATCATAATGAAATAAGTTTCCTCTTCGTTATACACAGTGAATAACACTAAAGCAACTTTCCCACATTCGTTGTTGTTATTATTATTATTTTTAATTAATTTTTCTTCGGCTTAGTCTCTTTATTCATCAGGGAATCGCCACAGCAGAATGAACCATCAACTGAGGGCGTACTCACACTATGTCATCCGTACCGTGCCCAGGCCCATTTCCCGGATCGTTTGAGAAGTGTGAGTGCGCTGAATCGGGCTCAAGCACGGTTCACTTGGCTGGCCCTGGCCCGGTTGGAAGAGGTGTGCCTGAGCGCGGTTCACTTGGGCTTTGGCACGGTATGTTTGTAGTGTGAGTGCAAAACACTGAAACTGAAGCCCGAAACTGAAAGCAAGACGTGACTTTTTTAAGAGACTGTTTCATATGGATTTATTAATAATTTGTACTGTTCTGCCGTAGCTTATTAAATACGCAAACCCCTCACTGCAAGACAGCTGCGCAGCTTCAGCAGACCTCCTCATTCCTGCAGCACGAGGGCTTTATGATTGTTTATGAGCGCCAAAAGTGGGCGAAATATCTGACTGCGTGCCACCGCATCCCTAAGGACTGTTTGGCGAAATATTTGATGGCATGTCACTGCATATCAAACCGACTGAAACGATATAACTAGAGAAATCTCCACTGTGCTGCTGAGTGAGTGACAGCACTTCTCACTGAACAGCACCGCAGCATCGATGATGTAAGCGTGCCGAGGCCCGATTGTGGTGTGAGTGTGGGCCGACAAGCGTGCTTTGGCCCGGTTCGAGGCAACTGTACCTAGTGTGAGCCTTATTCTGCATGTTTTACGGCCCTTCCAGCTGCAACCCAGTACTGGGAAACATCCATACACTACGACCAATTTAGTTTATTCAGTTCACCAATACTGCATGTCTTTGGACTGTGGGGGAAACTGGAGCACCCTGAGGAAACCCATGAGAACATGCAAACTCCACACAGAAATACCATCTTATCAGGACTCGAACCAGCGACCTTCTTGCTGTGAGGCGACAGAGCTAAACAATGAGCCACTGTGTCGCCCCATTATTTGTTTTAATAATGCCTTCTTTTTAGCTTTTTTTATCAGTTATGTACAATATACAATAGTCAAAGCCTTTTATCAAAATTGTCTTAAATCAACGTGTATCGAATGTTCTTGTTTTAGGACAAGACATATTTGTGATCCACTTCAAATGTTGATTACTGTAGTTTTGAGTTACATCTAATTCGTGACATCCTCTAGAATTGATTGAAAGTGAACACGTATTCATTCATTTTCCTTTGGCTCAGTCCCTTTATTCATCAAGGGTCGCCACAGCGGAATGAACCGCCAACTTATCCAGCATATGTTTTACACAGTGGATGACATTCCAGCTGCAACTCATCACTGGGATACATCCATACACACTCATTCACTACGGCCAATTTAGTTTATTATTTGGACTGTGGGGTAAACCGAAGCACCTGTAGGAAACCCACACCAACACAGGGAGAATGTGCAAACTCCACACAGAAATGCCAACTGGCCCAGTCGGGACCCAAACAGGCGACCTTCTTGATGTGATTATTTGTATTGATTGTAAACAGGGCCTCATCTGTACTGTCCTCAGGTTGTGTCAGAGTCCAGGATGACCCATCAGTTTCCTCCACTCACCACGGAGCAAAAGAAGGAGCTTCATGAGATAGCCCTGCACATCGTGTCTCCAGGGAAAGGCATCCTGGCTGCAGACGAGTCTATAGGTCAATGCTCGTCCTGTTAGTTCACACTTTGCACTTAATCAAGCTTGAGATCTGACTCTGGCTCTGTGTGTGTTGAAACAGGCAGCATGGGGAAGCGCCTGAACCAGATCGGGGTGGAGAACAATGAAGAAAATCGCCGTCTATTCCGTCAGGTGCTCTTCACCGCTGATGACCGTATTGATAACTGCATCGGCGGAGTCATCTTCTTCCATGAAACACTCTATCAGAACTCGGATGATGGTGTCCCGTTTGTCAAGATGATCAAGGATAAGGGTATTACTATTGGGATCAAGGTATAATGTCTCGCTGAGCCAGATCAGCCTCAAAATAAAACATTAAAAATCATAATTTATACATCCAAACAAAGTTGATCATGTTTCGACGTACTTTAAATTAAACAAATTTTAACTTGATGTTTTTAGTCAGCTTGATTGATGCAAGTTATAATGACTTCAAAGTGGTTTAACCTAAAAAAATTAAGTGAGCTACATATTTTTTACAGTGTGGCTATAGCAACATTTCGCAGTTACATTCAACCCATAATATCCAGTCATCAGTCATTTGAGAAAAAAATATATATATATTTTGATGGTATATTGCAGTGGTCACCAAACTTGTTCCTGGAGGGCCTACAGATTTTAGCTCCAACCCTAATTAAACACACCTGAACAAGCTAATCAAGGTCTTACTTGGTATACTTCAAACATCCAGGCAGGTGTGTTAAGGCAAGGTTGGAGCTAAACCCTGCAGGGACACCGGCCCTCCAGGACCAGGATTGGTGACCCCTGGTATATTGGGTCAAGAAGAGTGTATGGAAAAACTAAATAATGTAAAATAATGTTATCTTCTCAAAACGTCCTGACCCAAGAGCTCTACATGCCGTATATACAGATTAATGAAAGTCTAAAGCAAAATGTTTGACCTTTCATGCTTTTTGTCTTGATAGTGAAGAACTAACCATTTTCAAATGTAATTTATTTTCTTCCATGTGTTCAAAATAATGAACGCATTCTCTCATCTCAATTTTAATTCATTCATTTTCTTGTCAGCTTAGTCCCTTAATTAATCCGGGGTCACCACAGTGGAATGAACCGGCAACTTATTTAGCAAGTTTTTTACGCAGCAGATGCCCTTCCAGCAGCAACCCATCTCTGAAAAACATCCACACATACACTACGGACAATTTAGCCTACCCAATTGACCTGTACCGCATGTCTTTGGACTGTGGGGGAAACCGGAGCACCCGGAGGAAACCCACGCAAACGCAGGGAGAACATGCAAACTCCACACAGAAACGCCAACTGAGCCGAGGCTCGAACCAGCGACCTTCTTGCTGTAAGGCGACAGCACTACCTACTGCGCCACTGCCCGCTTTAATTCAGCAATTTACTTTTTAAAAGCTAATTAATAAAACAAAAAAGTAACTTGCGTTACATTTTTTAAAAAGTAACTCAAATATTATTACTTATTTTTTTAAAAGTAATGCGTTACTTTACTCGTTACTTAGAAAAGTAATATTATTACATAACTCCTGTTACTTGTAATGCATTACCCCCAACACTGCTTATTATGTGCATACATGTTTGTACATTGTACTTCTATTTTTAAAAAAGATCTGCCTCTTCATCTGTAATTTTTTTTTTATTACGTTCATAATTACACTGTTGGCGCATCCCTTAACTTAACCCAGCCTTAAACCTGCCCATACCACAGACCTGTCTTTAACCTTACCAGTATCCCACCTCAAGAGCACCAGATGTTATGCAGTATAGTAAGTACATTGTACTTATTTTTTTATATAAATACCTAGTGGTTAAGGCCCCTTCATATAAAGTGGGACAGATTTTTTTGGTAGCAATATAGTTTCACATGTAGATTGGATGTACTTATAATATTTATTAAATAAATTGAGTAATAATTTGATATTATCACAATAGCTACCTCTGATTCTACACTTAAGCTATTTCAAGAGTTCACACTTAGCTAATGATTGATTATAAAGCTTGTTTGGCATGCTGTTCCATAAGATCCTCGAGCCCAGGGCTCCCTCTTGTTTACAAGGCGAGAGGGGAGTTTGAGGTCAGGTAGATCTCAAGAACTCCCTTGCTGTCATAGCTAATGAACAGAGATAGCGATTGCTCTTAAGAGATAACTACTAGGAGCATGTCTATGGTGCAGACTTGTATTAGTCAATTAGCTTAAATTTTTGGACGGTGGGAGAAAACCGGAAAACCCAGGGGAAACCCATGTGAGCACGGAGAGAACATGTAAACTCAGAAACAACGGCTGGCTTGGTAAGAACTAGAACAAGTGATGTTCTTTCTGTGAGGCAACAGTGCTAACCACTGGGCCACCGTGCCACCCATCTAGGAAAGGAGGAGGAGTAGGGGTGGAAAAGGGGATTCTTCAAAACAAGGATGGCTGTGATGTCGAAATTGGGGAATTTATTGTAGCTTAGGAATCGTCTGATTGGCGAATCATGAATTGGATAATGTGAAACCAGCCGCAAGCAATCATAAGCACACGATCCTCTCGAAATTAGTTCACGTAGTTACCTTGCTTCACGTAGTTACCTTGTATTACCAAGTACTTTCTATAAAAGTCTATTTATTTTTGGGAGGTACACTGTCAGCACACATTAAGTACACATGCTGTAAAATACAAGTGCAGTTTAAACGTCCTCACTGCAAATCTAAAATGTACTAGGGCAGTGTTTCTCAACCATGTTCCTGGAGGACCACAAGCACTGAATGTTTCAGATGTCTACTTTGTCTGTCACACTCATTACAGGTCTTTCAGTCTCTGCAAATGAGCTGAAGATCTGAATCAGTTGTGTTTGGTTAAGGAGACATGGAAAATGTGCAGAGTTGATGGTTCTCCAGGTACATGGTTGAGAAACACTGTACTAAAGTGATACTATACACTGTTTAGAGATAAATAAAGTACATATTTATCTCTTTAAAGGGATCATTCACCCCAAAAATGTTTTTTTTTTTCAAACACAAAGTGACATATACTGTAGCTACTGAAGAAAGAAAACAAGCAGCTATTGATATATTTAGGAGAAACAAAAAAGTACAATTTTTGCTCTTTTTTTTCGGCAAGATGCTGGATTAAAAATGTTGTGACCTCTCTTAACAGGTTGACAAAGGTGTAGTGCCCTTGCCAGGGACTAATGGAGAGACCACTACACAAGGTATAACGATGATGTTCTTTCTCTGTATCTAAATATATGCTCATTTATTCAATTTCAGTGTTGAAGTGTTTGTTTAGCGGACAGTTTGACATTAAGTCCTTGGTTACATATTCAGTCATTTTTAAGGTGTGTAATATTAGTGTACATTGAAATCACAATAATGTGCTAAAAACAGAAAGTTTTCCACTGCATTTTTTAAAAATCAATACATTTTTTAAACAATTTGTTCACGTGGATCCACACAAATGACTGAAAATGCTGTATTGGTCATGCCAGGCCAGGTAATGATGTAAAGAAACACTACATAACTGGGCACATATGGTCCTGTTGTTCACTGCTGTTGTTCTGGTAGTCAATTACATGTCTATTAGGCTGAACAAATCAGTAAGTAAATAAGATCACAATTTTCTAATATATGCAATTTGAAAGTTAATGTGTGCATTTTTAAAGCCCCCCAAAATGCTGCTTTTCAAAATCTTTTGGATTTTGGTTTGAAAAGATGCTGTCTAAATGTATCAGTATATATATACAACAAAAGATTTACAAATAAAACAGAATACAGTCTAACTAGTTCGTTTTTAAACAATAAGGGAATCATGAATTAAATATATTACAAATGCACGAGAGAAATAAGGGGAAACTAGAGGGTAATATAAACATAAAAACAAACAGGCCGATTAAATACAAAGCAATAAGCACAAATTTTTGAAGTTTAAACATCACTCTTTAGGCTAATACTTCTTGTTTGAATATGCTAAAAAGAGGTTTACATTTATTTACATTTATAGATATAAAACTTTTCAATATTTATTAATGAAATACCCAAAACAAGTTTTGTTTTGATTAAGTCTGAATAAGTGATTAAGATTATTTTGGATAACAAAGGCATTTTCAAAAAAGACCTTTAATCCAAAAAGATTGAACAAAAGGACTTTCCTAATTTAGTGAGCTACACTTTAAGAAGCTTCCCAGAAAGACCAGGTAAAGGCTAAATGGCTAGACAGGAAATAAAAGATATATATATTTTACAATCCAAAAGTTTTTTATAATTGTTTAATAAAATAGTTCTTTTTAACTATCTAATAACTTAATTTGTTAAGAAACCTTTAGGGGTGTCAGGATCAATGATGATAATTATTTCATTACAGGTCTGTAAGACTTATTTGAGTTAATATTTAGGTTATTTTCTAAAATATATCATTTAAATCATTCATGGAGCTGAATGTAGTAAACAGTCTGTATAAAAAAGGTCGAAAATAAACCTGTGCAAACAGTCTAGACTTTATAACCAGATTATTTAACAAAACATGATTACTGCAGTAAAATATTAGTAGTCTTTAATAAGCATGATGTGTACATGAGGGAGAGTATGAAAAGTTAATTGTTTGTTTTGAAATTTGTGAATCGGAAGTTGTCCAATAATAAACCCAAAACATACGTGGTTGTTGTCATGCAGTGAACTCGCGCTGTCGCAGTACTTTAATGCCACATGTGACAGTCACGTGGTGTCGGCGCAACATCAATCCGGACAGAATTTCTAACCAGCATGCACCGCTTTAAGACAGATTTCGATCGATCTGTGCAGCGCTGCATGAAGTCGAACGTACCTATAGGAACACTGGAGCATTTTAAAGGCGCGAAGATTAGTCGATTCATCAGAGGATTGCTCTTATGTCAGCTTACAAAAAGACCAGCTGATCTTTGTTGCTTTAAAACGCTGCAGTGTCCCTCTATCTGTTGTTACACTTGGTGAACAGCGGTGAGTTCAGTGAACTGATTACCTTCATGGCCAATCACAGTCATTTCTGTTGAGCATGTGAACACAATGGCAAATTAGCGCTCTTCAGGAATGCACTCAAAAGCGTTCAAATGTTAGCGGGAAATTAACGATTTTAAAACCCCAGTACCGATTGGTATCGAATTCCAGTAGCGTGACAACACTAATTAGCAGGTAAGCAGGTTGGTTTGAACAGCAGATTTCATGGTTAATAGTAGTAGCACAGATAATAATTAAAAATTTAAAAAATAAAATAAAAGAATTAAGCTGGTAATCAAACCCATGTTACTATACCAAAATAGTCGGAACTGGAAGAATGCACAGAAAAGCTATTCATTTAATCCAATTAATGAATTAGTAGAATATTTAACTCATTCCAGTGATGCTCAGTATGACTCTAAAACATAATGATACCTAAAATTTTAACATACTTTTATCGGATCTCTACTGTCTCCATAGGTCTGGACGGGCTCTCAGAACGCTGTGCTCAGTATAAAAAGGATGGAGCTGACTTTGCCAAGTGGCGCTGTGTGATGAAAATCAGCGAGACTACCCCGTCAAACCTGTGCATTACAGAAAACGCTAAAGTCCTTGCTCGCTATGCTAGTATTTGTCAGCAGGTAAAACATCAGAGAAGCTAATGTCATCAAATTGGAATATGTTGAGAATCATTTGGTTGCGCTCTCATGTTCTTCCAGCATGGGATCGTCCCCATCGTGGAACCTGAGATCTTACCTGATGGAGACCATAATTTGAAGCGCTGCCAGTTTGTCACAGAGAGGGTTAGTGTTTAAGTTTTATACTTTAGTTATTAAATGTATAGTACACTCCAATCAGCCAATATGTAAGGAATTTTAATGAAAGGCAGTTTTGAATAATTCAGCTGAGCTAATACTACAGTTTTCACAATCAAAATTATTTTTCACTCCTATTCCTTGTTTCAAGCCGATTCAAACGCACTGTATGATGTCATTTTCTGTCATTCAATTTTTTTCACTATTTAAAATTTTTTGTAAAACCTTTTTGAACAAACTTGTCCAAGGCCATTTGTTCGATTTTCACCACAACTGAATCACACGATCTACAAACCATGCTTACCAAAATGTATGGAATTTGGGTTGATTAGACAAATTTAATGTAGAGCTTGCGAAAATTGACTTAAGGTGTTATCTGCGTAACGCATTGACGTATTCACACTTAAAAGGCCACGAAACCGTTTCAGCAGAGTGTTTTCACACCTCTAGTTTGGAAAAATTTAGGAAAGTGGGCTTGCCCAGCTCTGTTTAGGGGAAAGTGTCAGAGGAAGGAAAGAGGGAAGGTGCATAAAAATTTGCATAAAAATTGGAGTTTTGGTTTGGGCACATGCTGATTTTCTGCTGGAAGTGTATATTTAATGCAATGTTTGATATCGCACGTCGAATGAGAGAAAAAAACCCTCCGCATTTCTCTGTAACTTAGATGCACTCGGTAGGTTGCGCCAAAAAGCTGTGTGTTATTCCTGTCACAAAATGCGGCAAAAATCCTACACGACGGTAATAGTTTGATTGCTGTGTTTATATGTTTATACTTGGAGAGTCGCATTTGCAACAGATCTTTCAGTCCATAATATTGTAGTGATATTAACGTACTGTGAACTTTAGTAACTTAGAAATCATTTTGACTAAAGTCTCTTTAAATACTAAAAACAGAACTGTTAACGATACGAACTAACATTGCCATCTGAATGAACAAACAAAGACCACTGATCGCTCACTTACCAAATCTGTAGAGACAGGACAACCAACACCACCTAGAGCCGCATCTTTATTAAAAGGAGACGAGCGGCAATTCCGGATTTCACCATTTCCAAATGAGAAAAGCTCTTGGGTAAAATTGTTCCTTAGACACGTATTTTTGTCGCTTGTCGCGTGCACTGTAATCCACACGTGAGTCCAGCTGCGCTCTCATAGCAGCAAAATGAAAACAAAAACCTTCCTTGCAGCAAATTTATAAAAGCAACTCTGACGAACCGTATCTCCAAACAATTAATCTTCTCTTGTTTTGGCAACACAACATTGCGTCTCTCTGTCGTCTGAACACTGTACAGGTACAAACAGTCTTTGAGGATATCATGCATATTAGTGAAGTTGCACCGCATACACAATAGAACGCGCTGATTGGTTTGAGCCAAGTCTTTCTCCTGAATGAATACAGCACACTCAGAGGTTCTCCAAGGTACAGACAGCCAATCTACATGCTGGAATACACGCAATGATCTAATCGCTGTGACACAGCTGCAAAAATTTGTTTCAAACCAGAAGAACGAATTTGCTCGAATTAACACAAAAACAACCAATTTTCACTTTTTTGTGAAATATATGTGTCCTAACAGTGTTTTTAGAAGCGTGGGACACATATATGACTGTCAACAGTTTAAAAAATGTGTTTCGGTGTTTCGTGACCTTTTAACTCTGTGTGTGTTATCACAACCATGGTCTGAAGTGAGTTGCAGCATTTTGGCACACTGCCCGGACTGGTCCGGATATACAAAAAAAAGCTTTTTTCCCCCAAAAACTTCTCAACCCTTGGTCCAAAATTTAAAAGATGTGGCTGCTTGGCCCCGATAATTGCTGCTTGCAGCTACAATTTTTATTGTATTTTCATCTGTTGTAGGCTGTGAAATAACCAAAATCATTCAGCTTAGTGCAACTGTACTGCAGTCAAAACTGTCTGGAACACTAGCTGTGTGTCTTTGAGATGAATAATTTAACGTCCTAGAACCAATCAGAATCAAGCATTTAACAGCCCCCTAGTTACCTTGTTTTAAGACTTGTATGACTTTACTTCTTTCAGTGGTGCATTGTTTGTTTATACAGTGAATGTTGGTGGGATTCAAAACAACATTTAAGATGACAACAACAAGTTTTGGAAGAAAATTAGTTTGAATAAAGTCCTTCAGATGAATCATTATATGCTTTATATGCTTTATATGCATTATATGCGTTATGAATTAGGTTCTCGCAGCGGTCTACAAAGCCATGTTTGATCATCACGTGTATCTGGAAGGCACACTGCTCAAGCCCAACATGGTGACCCCCGGACATGGCTGTCCTACCAAATACAGTGCTGAGGAGGTTGCCATGGCAACAGTCACTGCTCTGCGGCGCACCGTCCCACCCGCTGTCACAGGTGAGGATATATTAAAAATGTAAACCTGGTGTCAAATGGAGTCTGGCCATTGTGTAATTACAGATTTTTGTGATCTTCCAGGGGTGACCTTTCTCTCGGGAGGTCAAAGTGAGGAGGAGGCCTCTATTAACCTGAGCGCTATCAATAACTGCCGACTGGTGAAGCCCTGGGCTCTTACCTTCTCATTCGGCCGAGCTCTTCAGGCCTCGGCTCTGAAGACCTGGCGTGGACAGAGAGAGAATGAGGCCGCCGCAACTGAGGAGTTCATCAAACGAGCAGAGGCAAGCCAAACAAATCTAGTCACAAACAGATAAAGGGATAGTTATAAAGGGATACTTTTAAAGATCAGAAAATAGAATAAAAAGTGTTACAGGGTCAGAGCATTATCTTTCTATTTATTTATTGGTGGAGCAGCACACAAAAAAATGGAGCATAGATCATCAAACTCAACCCCAGAAAGCCAGTGTCCCAAAAAGTTTAGCTCCAACCTGCCTGGAAATTTCAAATATAGCTAGTAACTATTAGTCTACTACTAATGGCAAGCCTGAAACGATTAGTATAAATAGGAAAACAGTTAATGCTAACACTGCCTCAATGGCAGTACACAGTGAAAAAGAACAAAAGCCACTTTGTGACTGGCTAAGGCCCCGTTTACACTAGCGCGTTTTAGTTTTAAAACGGCGTTGTAGAATGAAAACGATCCGCGTCCACACTCGCGTTTTACCCAGCGTTTCTGAACTGCTCTCCGTCCACACCAAAACGCTGAAAACGCACATCACGTGACCACACACACACTCTCGGGCAAGCGCTCCAGCATTCTACCCAGATGAGAGCTCTGCTTGTCGGACTGCTCATCACGCATCTCCCGCTGGATCTAATCTCACTATATTTGCTAAACGTGATATTTCATTCATGTTGTTGTCTTTATCTAACGACATATTCCCTGACTTTGGTCATTGGAATCTATTAAGTTACTTGTTCACGGGTAACATGTTTTGGTTAAGTGCAAAGATAAGTTAATGATTAATCCAGGTACATTGACTGATCGCTTGCCTTTATTTCCTACAATGTATAAACTTATTGTATGTTTATATACTTTTATAATTGTCGATTTTTAAAACTGATATTCAGCAAAAGAGAGGGTGCGTTTCGTATTTTCACTGAAATTGAAAGGAGGCAGTTGTTATCGGCTCCGTGTAGTTCTAAATATCCACACAGTGAAGATGACGCTCATATATGCAGCACGGCGCCTCAACATTTCTGCTGTCTGTTAAGTTTTCTAATATTAAAATGAAAATAGGCAGTTCCTTAAATCATGTTTACATTTTATTGTTGAGAAAGTGAAACAACGTAGCGAAGGTGATGTGAATGAAGTTATAAAGTACACTGTTCCCTTTGAAGATTTACGCGTGTCCTCGGTATGTTTTCCATATCAAACTGAGAAGGGGGAGACTGCAGCCTTGATCAAACTTGCGAAGTCTTAACTTACAATAAGAGGATGCGAGACTGAACTGTGTGTGGGCTACTTAATATTCAGGAAAAGCCCCAATAAGATAGGCGAACGTTTGCAGCCCCGCCTCCGTTTTCAGATGTCTCCGTCTTTCCCCATCCACACTGAGACGGAGCAGCAGCGTTTTAGAATGAAAACGGCCTTTCCAGCGTTTTCAAAAAGCTCCGTTTTCGGCGCTCGAGAACTCCGGCGTAGTGTGGACGGATGGCGTAACCGTAGCAAAACTTATGCGTTTTCAAACTAAAACGCACTAGTGTAAACGGGGCCTAAGACAGGCTTCACATGAACAAGTTTGTGTAATACAAATCTCTTCCTATATCCGAAATTGCCTCCTATACCATCATACACTATTCCCTACATTAGTCCACTATATTAGTATATAGTCCACTTGCTTTATTGACTGATAAATCCTCAAAGACAGATTGGATTTTAAATCTTGGTCAATCCTCATGATAGTTATTTAACACTTAGTGAGCTGTCTAATGAAACAAATAATTTTTTCTCTCATGTATACAAACTTTAATTAAATTATGTTTCATTTAGAAACTAACATATAGGATTCTATTAGGGATGCCATATTATAGTCAGATGCGGAAATGTACTTGCCGAGAACTCTCATGCTGCATTATGAGTATTTTTTAGCTGCTGAGTTGTGGTTGTCGGTGTGTTCCAAATGCGACATTTTGCTGTGAAGGACATTTTGGAGTGAACAAAATTATGGACACCATTTTAAAGTGTCATTCAAAAACAAATGGCTCAACTTCGAAGGGCCCTTTGGAATGAAGTATTTTGAAGGATACAACTGATGGATACTTGAGGTCATGATCCTTTGTCTAGGGAAACTGTTTGGGGTTGCACACTGTGTTCAGTGTGGAAGGGCTCATCTATGCTATTAATTTCTTCAGAGGAACACACAAAGGGTGTAGGGCATGGGGATGAGCCCTTCCGAATAGTCTAGAAGAGATACAGCTCCGGCCTGAAGTTAAAGTCAACATGAACTAGAAGTTGTTACAGTTTTTTTTTTTCATATTGTTACGCAGTTCCTAGAGAAATGGAATATTGAATGATTAAACAGTGGCCGTGGCTAGTTTTTTCTACTGCGAGCTGATTGGATGTAGAAGGCATTTCATTCAGAAAGATTGGGAAAAGGATTTCGGGAGAGTTACTACAACATACACCAGACAACAGACACCTCCTCCTCACCATTTTTATTTTTGTCAAAACTGTCAGTTGGAAGGGCATGGTTAAGTATGCTAACTCTGCCCAAGACCTTAAAAAGACATAAACGGTGTCCCCATTCGCTTACTTATACTACGCCCTAAAAGTATGTACTGTTTTTGTGAAGGAAAAGTTTATACTTTTGAGTGTGGAACAGAAGAGTATGCAAGCTTTTGGACATGCTACCCGCTCTTTAACAGATCGTTGTGTTGCTTAGTTATGCCCCCTGTCAATCATCCACACACTATCCGCATTTCTGTCATATTTAAATTCCTACCTTATTGGAGAAGCAGCAGTAGGTTAATCTCCCATTTATGAGAATTTCATGCAGAGAAATCTCCTCAGGTCTTTTGATAATTCGGCATTCAGACGTCCAAACACTTCATTATGTAAGTTTAGTATTGTTGTTGCAGAAATATAACACAGATAATGTGATTGAAATATTTTCCAGTCGGCTCGATATTGACTAACAGTCATTCAAACACCTTTACCGAAGCTTCTCTACTTGACGGTTGGTCTCGCGTGTCCATCATGTTTGTAGTTTATTTACATTTTTCACATGCATTTGTAGTTCTAATCGAATTTGCGTCCAAAGCGCAATGTATTGTGGGCAATATCAGCGGTTACAGTATGGACGCTTCTAGGCTTCTACACTTAAATTTTTTACCGGAAATAGCAAACCATCAGGGAACTTCTGGCATACTCTTTTCATCATACTATGGTTTGGGACATACTAATTCTATTTTCAAATACTATTTAGGACGGATAGTATGCAGATTGGGACGCAGCAATAATCTGAGAATTTAACTGAAAAAATAAACAGGAAGTGCATTTCCATATTTTAATTTTAGATTACAAGGGCAAACTTTTTATTTCTTAATGACATGCACAGATGAATTGTTCATCACAAAACGAGCAATGTGTGAGCAAACAAAATCATATGGTTAGTTTTGATTTCATTTATACTTTAACAATAATTATTGAGTTGCATTGTGAGATTGATTGAGTACACTTCAGAACATCCACTATGAGATAGATAGATGTGTTATTATCTTTCGAATAGCTTCTCAGTGTGTTCATTTTTCTCCTCAGATCAACAGTCTGGCATCTCAAGGGAAGTACACGGTTTGTGGTGACAGCAGTGGAGCTACTGGTCTTTCCCATTATCTTTCCAGCTACGCATATTGAATTTGCCCCTGATTTCCATACTCCAACATTAGCTGAAACATAGCGGATGTCACTGCCACTTGCATATAAAACTCATAAAGCATCTAAATGTTGATATGATACAGCACATGATGGTGTTCTCTAGGTGGTGGCGTCCTTTGCTTGTCTTAAAAACATTGTAAAGCATAAATGTCTGTTGCTAATTATACTGACAAGATTATTAATAAATGTACAGTTTGCTGTGTAATATCAATCCTTACTACTTACTGTACTTAACCCTTTAACTGTCACCCCACATTCATGCTTGAAAATTATAGATGATATATGCATGTTACATATATAGTTAGTCAAGATAATTTCAGATTTAGACATACATTTTTTTATTACATGTTCTGAAAAATGTCCAACATGTGGGGTAAGGGGTTTCTTGAGTCTTAAGGATTTGTGCTATACGCTTCTGCAATCAAACTTCATCATCTAAAGCTTTAATAAAGCCTGTGCTTCGGTGACGAATAACAGCTTGGATTACAAGTTTATCACAGTATCTGGTATGGTATTTCTGTATGTTAGGCTTCATTATGGACAACAGTGAAACTATTGACAGTCTGAATACAAACTGAAAGTGCTGCAATAAAATTGTGAAGATGTAAGATGTGTCTGAGATATAAAATATACAATGAATACACATTATAATTAAATATGCTTCCTTAGTTTTTACTATTTTTGAAAACAGCATTGAAATTTTGGACAGATCAATGTTTTGTTTAAACTGTTCCCAATGTCCAAATATTTTAAAATGTCATTTAAAGTCCATCATTACTCCAGACTTTAGCAGGACTCCATCCGATCATTGTTATATACTGATGAGAAAAAGCTGATGATCAGAAGACTTATGATTATTATCATTGATGAAAACAATTGAAAAGTTTTGTGGAAACCAGAATACAGTGCATCCGAAAACTATACATAGCGCTTCCCTTTTTCCCAATTTTTTTTTATTATAGCGTTATTCTAAAATAGACTAAATTCTTTTTTTTCCTCAAAATTCTACACACAATACCCCATAATGACAAAGATTTTTTTAAATTGTTGCAAATATATTAAAAATAAAAAACCTAAAAAAATCACATGTACATCAGTATTCACAGCCTTTGCCGCGAAGCTCTAAATTGAGCTCAGGTACATTTTGTTTCCACTGATCATTCTTGAGATATTTCAGCAGCTTAATTAGAGTTCACCTGTGGTAAATTCAGTTGATTGGACATGAATTAAAAAGGCATACACCTGTCTACAGAATATAAGGTCCCAGGGTTGATAGTGCATGTCAAAGCACAAACCAAGCATGAAGACAAATGAATTGTTTAGGCACTATGCTGGGGAAGGTTACAGAACAATTTCTGCTGCTCTGAAAGTTACAATGAGCACAGTGGCCTTCATCATCCGTAAGTGAAACCACCAGGACTCCGGGGAGAAGAGCCTTAGTCAGTGAGGTGATCAATAATAACCTGATGGTCACTCTGTCTGAAAGCGGAGAACAGAAGGACAACTATCTGTGCAGCAATCCACCAATCAGGCCTGTATGGTAGAGTGGCCAGACGGATGCCACCCCAACGCTCATAATAAAAGGGAACCTTTTTATTATGAGAATGTTACCAAATAAATCAAACTGTCCTGGCCAGGTTTCCCTGGAAGAAGTGACTGTTATGTCTCAATGGGACTCAATGGAAATTCATTTATTCATCCATTCATTTTCTTTTCAGCTTAGTCACTTTATTAATAAGGATTCACCACGGTAGAATGAACCGCCAAATTATCCAGCATATGTTTTACGCAGCGGATGCCCTTCCAGCTTCAACCCATCACTGAGAAACACTCTTTCACACACATACACTACAGGCAATGTAGCTTACCCAATTAACTTATGGCGCATGTCTTTGGACTTGTGGGGGAAATCAGAGCAGCCGGAGGAAACCTGCACGTCGCAAACACAGGGAGAACATGCAAACTCCACACAGAAATGTCAACTGACCCAGCCGAGACTTGAACCAGCCACCTTCTTGCTGTGAGGCGACAGAGCTAACCAAATAACACAAATAAATAATGATTGTACATTAGAACTACATTATTATTTCGCCAACATTTTCATAATATACATATTCTTAGATTCCCAATTACAGAAATTATTATTATAGCTGGTAAATATTGTTCCTCTGTGACGTAATCTACAGTTTACCACAGCAGCAGGTGCTCTTACAAAAAGACCCAGCAGGAATCCTGCAGGAATATTATGCAGATTTCCTACAGGATTTTCAGCTCATTTTCCTGTATACCTGCAGGAATTTTATGAAGGAAATTTATGCAGTGATTATTCCTGCAGGAATTACAATCCTACAGGTCTATAAAAATATACAGTTTAAGCAGGATTATTGTGCAGGATAGATATCAAGTTAGAGAAAATTTACAATGAAACAATGCATTTTTACAAATAATTTATATATATATATATATATATATATATATATATATATATATATATATATATATATATATATATATATATATATATATATATATATATATATATATAGACCAAAGCAGAATCTAATTTACAGCAGGAGGCTTCATTTTCCTAAAAAAAAAGTAAAAAAATAAATAAATAAATAAAATTCCGTAAGTGGTAGAGCTGGTGTAGGGCAGAATACAGTCTGTACAGTATAAAAACCATTACAGCTATGAAGAATCCCCATTAACAACCAATGGACCCTTTTCAAAAGACTGTTATGATTTGTTTAAAGGTAATCAGCGTTGCATCAGCATCCTAAATACCTTACAGTTTTTAATCTTTCGATTTTTTAAAACTTATGTACATTTATATATATTTATGTATAATTCAATCTTAACGTCAAGTTACAAAAAAACAAATGGGACAGGATAATATGGGGACAGGACAATAAATCTGACATTATTCTCTAAAAAATTGTTGTACTCTCCCATTTACTGCGCTCTGAGTTTACCAACTATGATGATTTCTGCTGTTAAGAAACATGCAAATGTGTAAAGGGTCTATGCAAGTGTGTGTGTGTGTGTGTGTGCGTGTGCGTGTGCGTGTGTGTGTGTGTGTATGCGTGCGTGCGTGCGTGTCTTGTGAAAAGGGTCCATTGGTTGTTAATGGGGATTCTTCATAGCTGTACAGACTGTATTCTGCCCTACATCAACTCTACCACTTACAGAAAACTTTTTTTTTAGGAAATTGGAGTAAACGCAGCCTGCTGTAAACTGGATTCTGCTTTGGTCTACTTTTTTATTTTATTTAATTTTTTACAATTTTAATAAATAATTTGTGAAAATACATTGTTTTATTGTTAAATTTCTCTAACTTCATATCTATCTTGCACAATAATTCTGCTGGAACTGTATATTTAAATAGACCTGTAGGTTAATTCCTGCAGGAACCAATTAATTCCTGCATGCAACCAATTAAATGTAGCATAGACTTCAACTGAGGACCACTCTGTTGTAAAAAATAAAATCTTTACAGAACTCATTCACACTACTTACACGCCAACATAAATCCGCTGTATCGTTCCAGACGTCGCTTTAATGATTATTTCGTGTCGCGGATGTAGCCGCTCCACTCCCCGCCGAGCCTGTTTGTTCAGATTCCTCCGCGGCTGGTAAAGCGCGCCCGCTGAAGAGGAAGCGACCGCGCGACTTCAGAGGAAACACGCTCTCGGTGTGCGCGTGCGAGCGGTGCTTCAAACAATAGTAAGTCTCTTTGTTTTAAATCTAATGTTGGTTGCGGTTTATTCACCGTATTTCGCGAGGCACACAAACAGCCGTTGTTTATCAGACTCGAAAAGCGTTGTTTGTTTCTCTGTTCAGCAGGAAGGTGAAGAGTTGTCAGTGCAGAGATGTCCGGTGGTGTGATCCGCGGCCCTGCTGGAAGCAACGATTGCCGCATCTATGTGGGAAACCTGCCGCCCGATATTCGCACCAAAGATGTCGAAGATGTGTTTTATAAGTACGGAGCCATCCGAGACATCGATCTGAAAAACCGACGAGGCGGACCTCCATTCGCCTTTGTCGAGTTTGAAGACCCCAGGTGGGTGAAACTGAACCTTGAGCTCGTAGCCTTTAGCTAAGCGGCTAACTTAGTTTGTCCGTTTGTTTCAGCGTTACCCAAATTATTTATAAAACTTGTCACCGTTAATAAACGTGTAACGTTTGCCAACGCGTTTTTACAATCTTCGCATGCACAGTAGTGTTTTTGTGTTGCTACTACTTTTTGTTTTTATGCTAGCAAGCTAATATTAGCTTAGCCGCACTCACCATGTTTTCAGTGACCAATTTGTTTGTATAAACATGTTAATTATTTACCGTCGTGCTGAGGGTAGGTTTTAAAGCTTAATTAAAATCGAAAAATTCATTTTATTTATAACTTTAAGATTTCGTCTTTATTAGTGTACGATGCCCCTCCTGGGTTTGGATATGGAAATTAGCTTTGTAAAACTACACAAATGACCTCTCAAGCTTGATTCAAATGGGCTGTAGTGAAATTTTGCTGAAAAAAAATTCGTGCCTTCTGCATTAGTTTAATGTCGGTTGATTTGCTTTAATTATATTAAGGGATTTAACTAGCTGGTTAGATTAGTAGTGGCGGATTAGTTACCGTTTGCAGCTTAACTCTTTAGGACACCTCTGAGTTTTTTTTAATCACTGATTTAATTTTTCTGAAAATAACTACACAAAAGTTCTATATATATAAATGTATACACACACACACACACACACATATATATATATATATATATAGTTGTATAATATAAAAAATATATAAAATAATTATATAATATATAATTGTTTTTTAATGAAAATTATTTTAAAAGTTAAAACGCCATGTTTCTTTGTGTACAAATTGTTTTTTTTTTTTGGCCTAAATTCAAAAAAAGAAAAACTTTAGAAAATTCACATGCTTGAGAAAATTTGTAGAAAATAAACCGTAAAAACAAACAGCCTTTCATTAAGTCCACTTCACAATTTTAATTGGGTGTTCATTGGTACTTTAATCTGCATTCTACTGCCTGTTCCGCTATTATGATTTGATTGCAAGAATTTCTGCATTTGTTTTTACAAGTTTTCCTCCTTATTGCTTCCTTTAGAGATGCAGAGGATGCTGTTTATGCTCGTGATGGCTATGACTATGATGGCTATCGACTTCGAGTGGAATTTCCTAGGAGTGGACGAGGAATGGGCAGAGGAGGTTTTGGTGGGGGTGGTGGAGGCGGTGGCGGCGGAGGAGGAGGTGGTGGTGGGGCTCCTAGAGGTAGATATGGACCCCCATCCAGACGTTCAGAGTACAGAGTAATTGTTTCAGGTAAGATAGAATCACAATTAGGGCTGTGTTTCATTTATCAGCCCAGCCCTAATCACAAGTTTTATATTAAATTCAAGAGGAATTGAGTTTTATTTACTTGTTTGATCCCAGGACTTCCACCAAGCGGCAGCTGGCAGGATCTGAAGGATCACATGCGTGAAGCAGGTGATGTATGTTACGCTGACGTTTTCCGAGATGGAACTGGTGTGGTGGAGTTTGTTCGCAAAGAGGACATGACCTACGCCGTTCGCAAACTGGATAACACAAAATTCCGGTCCCATGAGGTAGGTTTGAGATTTTAATCTGTATTTTTGGATATGCTTAGCATTGGGATGTTCTTAAGGTAAGCAAATCCCTAATGTAATGTTAGGAGAAACTACATTGGGTCCCACTTTATATTAAGTGGCCTTAACTACCATGTACTTGCATCACAAACAAGTGTAATGTTCTTAATTCACAGTGATGGTGGTCCTGAGGTGGGGTAAGGTTTAGGCCAGATTTGATGATGTGGGTAGGGTGTAAGGGATGGGTCAACTAAATATGTAATTACAGAAATGGAGAAAATTACAATACAAGTTCAATAAGATGTCATGTTTGTACATGGCTGCATTGTACCAAATTACTAATTTATAATTAAATAAATTGCAACTATGGCCACCGACTATAAAGTGGAATGTATGTGTGTGTGTGTGTATATATGTATGTATATATATATATATATATATATATATATATATATATATATATATATATATATATATATATATATATAATTCACCAATTGTATGAATAATAAATCTGCTCTGTAGGTTGATAAATGAATTATACATCTATGGAAAAGAAATTAGATACTGTTTCTCTGGATTTGTGGTTTAGTTCTGTTTTTGAAACAATGTTTTAATATGTGATTTAGACTACATGACCAATCTTTTTAACTGAACTTTTTTATTTTTATGGTAATAGTCATTTTCAGTTAAAACGATCTTATTCTGACCAATAGTTTTTGTACAAAGTTTTTGAATAACTTTCCCTATAAAAAAAATTAGGAAATGCGCATCTCTCAATATTTTTCAAACCCATACCTAGTCAATCCAGAGAAACTGACCAAATAATTTAGTTTTAAGTAATATGATTAAAGCGAAACCAAAGATATGTTTGTTCCAGGAAGTCTGGTAAGTACAGTGAAAATGTTGGCCTATTTGTACTATGCACTTGCTCAGCGGAAAGTTCTTTGTCTGCCAGGGAGAAACTGCGTACATCCGCGTAAAGGTGGACGGACCCCGCAGTCCAAGCTATGGAAGATCAAGGTCAAGGAGCCGCAGTCGCAGCAGGAGTCGCAGCCGCAGCAACAACCGTAGCCGAAGCTACTCTCCACGCCGCAGCCGAGGATCCCCGCAGTACTCGCCACGTCATAGCCGTTCCCGCTCTCGCTCCTAAAGCGCTCCACTCTTCACCTCATTGGTGGAGCCCTTGAGTCGTTTTTGTTTTACAGTCTTTACAAATCACGAACCCCATGTTTTAATCACCCCCTGTTTCGTGAGACAGTTGATCTTATGAATGTTGTCTTTTTTTTTTTTTTCCCTCCCTCTTACTGTTAGTTTTAAACATGCGTTTTTAACTGAACCCATTTTGTTTTTCCCCCCCATCCATTTTTTTTTTTTTTCAATACATAGTGGAAGTCTTTCATAGATCAGATCAAGGATTATGTAATGACTCCCAAATATTTTTGTAAATGCCATGTATGAAAGTTAATCATGGGATAGTGGGTTCCACAGTTGTTTTATGCTGTCTTCCTCTAGACGTGACACAGATCTGATGCTTTGTAATAAAGGATTACTAAATCTATACTTTGTTTCGTAAAAGGGTGAATTTGAGCACTAGAACAATCCTCCATTACTATTAAATACTGTTCTCTGCCTTCAGGGCATTAATTGGGTAACTGCAAAATTTAGATTACCAGGTGGCAGCTTTTTACTATTTCATTTTAGAGATGTACTTTTCAATCATAGCTGAGGTTGTGTCCAAAGACTTGAGTGTCCAACAGCATATTTGAATCGGTCTTAGTGTTAGGTCATTAGTCTTAATTTTAGTTTTGGCCTTAATGCTGTATGCATGTATCAAAGAAGGCAGGTTTGAGTGGATTTGATTCTAACTCTTTACCTCCTTTGTTTTGATTTTGCTGGTATCTTAAGGTTTGGATTGGAGGAGAGGCTCAGTGGATGCCGGATCATTGGGATCAGTACATAATGAAGATAGGATAGGGAATGCTGGATACATGGAACAGGATCAACTGCTCCAGGATCATAGGATTTTTAAGACCACAGTTCAAAAGTACTTCTCCAGCCCATAATTTTTATTTTTTATTTTTTCTTTACCTCAGTGGAAAATGTAGATGTTTTGGCCCGTCACATTTTTAACAGAGGAGCAGATGTTGGAGCAGGCTGTGGGGATGGAATCAACAGGAACAGAATGGTAAAATGAAAGAAATACATTTGGGATGGGGGGTATACTCAGGCATTTTTAGATTTACACTGTCCCAATGTGGACAGTAGATGTTTTAACATCACTAGCATTTTGTTTCTTTCTAGTTAAGTACTTTTTTTTTTTTTCTTGCCTAAATAAAGGTTTCATTGGTACAAAAATCAGTGTTTGATTCATTTACTTTAGGTTCTGCGTTATGAAAGGAAAAATATAAGTTGTGGTTTCACAAATGTTATATAACTGTATCAGCTTTCTCAATATTGAAATCAAGAGTTTTATGCAGGGTTTCTTTAAATCAGAGATGCCCAATGTAGGGCACATGGTCCAAAGTTGCCATCCCATCTGAAAAAAGGGAGATTGATGGGGTGGTGGTTGCGACAAATGCCTTTAACAGAGATTGTCATTTTGATTTTAATGTAAGCTTTTGTTTTTTGTTTTACTGCTGAGCTACAAAAAGCCACCTAAAATGAAATGATCCAATTAAATGTTGTAAATGAAAAAGACTTAAAATGTAAATACTGTCACCTGACAGGACAATGCACAAGTCATCTGCCTGAAAATCAAGGTGGAGGTCGACTAGTGCATTCAGCATTGAACTCCATTGTTTAATAAATGGGATTTTCGTTTTTACTGTGTTAAGTAAAGCATAAAATGTTAAAAAACGATACTGCACTCGTTAATATGATTTAAAGCAACATTATTATGAAATTCCTCTTGGCAAATTTATTGTAATACAGTTTGGTATATATTTGGCCCACAACCCTCAATCCAGTTTGGTGTTTGGCCCTTTATTGGAAAAACTTTGGGCACAACTACTTTAGGTGAAATACTACTTTTTAGAGGACAAGATAAGAATCGGACAGAAAATAGCAAATATTTCAATAATTGTACTATTAAAAAACTGATAAAAAAAACTACAAATAAGTAAGCATGCTGTTATTTATCCTAAAGGTTGTTTATGAGTCCTAAATTTATAGTTATTCCCATATTCTAGTGATTTTAATGTGTTGGGACATTTTATGGAGCATCAAGTACACTACCAAGATTTACTTAAACTTGCATCTATAAAGCGTTATTTTTGCAACAGTTGTATTACATTAATCTTGAAACTAAAAAGTGGGCCGTTTAGACCACTAACGTTAATTCAATAAGGCTACATTCACCTTCTCCATATATTTCTATTAATTGCCAAAAGCAATGAGTGAGACCCTAATCTAAATCATTACATTTCGTACATTTTCCACGTCGAGTGTGTGGGAGAGGCACAACAGATAAATGACTCTAACCTTGCAATAAGTGCTTCTCTCATTGTGAAGTGTTTTCATTATGAAGGTCCTCCGAGTCTAATTTAAGCTATTTTCTGGCCTACACAGTCCTGCATGCTTCTAACCAAACAAGCCCATTTCCCTATGGTCTCCGGTTAAAGATGCATTGTGGGATGAAATAAGATGCTGGCAGAGGGGCGCAGGGAGCGGCTGGTATGCAGCCAATGGCGAGCGCTGTGTAGGACGACATTGTGAAGAGCCAGGGATTTTAGCGCGGGCACCAGTCGGCGTTTGACTTGATCCTTATGTTCCTCTCATAGCGTCAAAGGGACACCCGCAGAAGACGACGAAAGCGACTGATTTTGCATCGCAAATTTATCTTGCCAAAATATTGTTGACAGGTGAGTTGACTAGTTTACTGTCTTGAGTGATCCGCGTTAAACGATCATGCGTGCGTTTTGAGCTTGACGCTATTGTTTAAAAGCGTTTAAATTGCGTTCATTGCGGGACGTCGTAGTCGCGTAAGTAAACCGTGTGTTGGACTTTCTGAAATGGAGACGCTAGATTGGGAACTGCGCGTGCACCTGAGTTTCATTGATTGCTGGAGCATCAAACGCGCACGCTGTGAATGGAGGTGTGTGACGTAGCATTCCTCCATCCTGACCCGTCAACGACTTGATGGATGAATCCAGATGTTAATCTGTCGACTGACAGTATTGCATATATGGTCATTAATTGGCAGCTAACGACAAACTATGCACCTGATTGTGTACAGTTTTAGTAATGCTAATGAATCGCTATTAAGTGTGTTTGTGCTTGGTTTTTCTAAGTTGCAACTCGAGCAAAATTTGACTGGTGTTCTGGGCCTAGAGTATGAAAATATGGTCGTAAATACTGTATTCCACAATTGGTACTGCTAAGATTATAGTTTAATGTGCTTAAATAATAGGTTAAACTTGTTTTCTGTGTATTAATGATCTGCAATTATGATTTAGCTGCTAGTGAAACTACAGATTTGGATGTGAATCCCAGTATTAGCATTTCAAGTTAACCAAAGTAGATTTATCCTGGATGTTGCTGGATATATTTTAAGAATGATGTGACCCCACTGTTGGTATGCAAATATGATTTTATTTACCTGCTAATACAGTTTATATGAATGTGGAACATATATGTGAATCAGTATTGCTAACAAACGTGTTTTTGTAGTGTAATTTGATGCATCCAGCAATAATAGTGCGCACAAATAATTTTAAGTAGCTGCTATTGGAATTATCAGGGAGTTTGGACTACATCAGATTCTTTCATTTACTTTACCTTCACTAGTTCAAAAACTGTTTGACTTTCGTCCTTTTGTTGAGCACAAAGATGATATTTTGAAAAAAAGCTGGAAACATGTAACGTTAACCACTGACTTGTGTAGTATTTATTTTTTTACTATATTATATATAAATATATTTAAATAAAGGTTTAGAAATGACTGAATGTGCTAGTAAATTAAACTTTTTTTATTTTGGTATGAAACCATTTGGTTTGTTTTTCTGGGCCCTATAATATATGCAGTATACTTGTAATTTAGTTAAGTACCAACCTAAATACTGTAATACAGATGATCCAAATGTATACTTTTCATTTGGAGTTCGACAGACCACATGGTATTGTGTACTGTTCTATATCACATTGTATGTGTTGTCTATACAATACATATGTACTATAGTACATCTATACTTGCTGTAAAAGAATCGTATTTCGAGTAGAGCTGCACAATATACTGTTTCAGCCTCTATATTGCAATGTGATCATTTGCAATAGTCACATCGTGAGTGTACACGATATTGAGTCTGGATTATAAAAGAGAATTTTGCAAGGGTTTTTTTTTAAGCCCCGTGTCTTTGTGAGGGTTTTTAAAGCATTCAGGCATTAAAAAATGTAATGTTTGTTACTTAATAATAATTTATTGAATTGTTTTAATAAATAAAAACTATACATTATTTTATTTGATTATTCAGTTACTGTAAACCGGAATACAGTTCCCTTTTGAAAACAATATAATGCTGTTTAATTAATTTGTATAATTTTCTTTATTGAATTTACCCGTGCTTGTAGGTTGTTTTGTTGTAATTTCTGAACTCTCCTACAGAATCATCCCAATCAATCTAAAACTTAAATTTTATAATTATAAATTCCACACAGTGTTTCAGCTCATCTTGCGAAGTTGTATTCAAATTGTAGAAAATCACAATGAGTAATTTTTCCAATATCAGGCAGCCCTAATTGTGAGGACAATTTGATTTTGTCAGAGTTATTAAAACGTCTAAAAATAATATTTCTTATTGACGTGCTTCTATTGAAGGTGTTAATGCAGTTGGATCATATTTATCCAAGTAATGCTTGTGAATGTAAATATTTATACTGCATTTTTTTATTTACACGTATATTTATTTACCCTAAAATTTTGCTGTAGTATAATTCTATATACTTTGATCTTTATTGCCCCTCACGACTGTAACCGTTTCCATCCAAAAATGCAAATAAAATTTATGTGCAAAACTGGAAAGATGTGCGAATAAAGCAACATTTCCATCCAACACGTCAAAGCTAACATAATTGTCAATTCTTGTTTAACTGGCGCCAAATATCAACTGCGTAAATCCTTTTTTTTTTTCAATTAATACCTTGCCCCTCAGAAGGCAATCCTGACACTTGATTCTCGAGGTCATTATTAAAATAATAACACCAATACTAAAATGGTTAAGGCATTTTAGAATGACCAAAACATAATTTCAGATGTATTACGGTGTGCCTGCTGGTTTATCCATTTGCACACATTTTTATCATCATGACAAAAAAACAAAATCACATGACCTTTTTTTTTTTTCCGGTAAAAGTGTTTCCTTCGCAGTTTACGCGCATCTTATCGAATATAAAGTTTACCCTCAGTTATGTGCATATGTTTTTTTATAATGCACATTTAAAAGTGTGTGTGCATTTTGGCATTTCCATCAATCGTTGTTGTTGCATATCCAAAGTGCGCATAAAAATTGGTGGATTGAAACATAGCTAATAATAGTATGCCCTGCATTTATGCAATCATTCCAGTATTGGTGTTGTTAGCTAAAGAAGGTTTATGATTCTTCTTAACATGTATATCAAACACAATTTTACTTTATTGACTATCTACAAACGATAGCACACATTAGATTTGAAGTATGTGTGTCATTCACATTTAAATTACTTTTTATATACAGGAGATGAGTTGACTTCAACTAAAGCTGTAATTTGAGCACCATTTGACTGTCTTTTGAACCTGCATTAATGGTATTTAAATGCAGCCCTCATTAACTCTGAAAATGGACTAAAAGACCTGCTTGGTTCTCATGAAAGTATCAAGTGTCGTTTAAATTACCTTAACAAATCCGATGGTCTCCGTTGATGGCATTCGGTCAGGAATGTACCTGGCTTTGTTGATTTAAAGAAAGGGCTCACTGTGGTGTTAAAACAGGGGTGCCTTACTGAGTTGCTTTCTACATTTTGCAGACAACATGACCGACAGGAAGGCTGTGATCAAGAACGCTGACATGTCTGAAGACATGCAGCAGGATGCAGTGGACTGTGCCACGCAGGCCATGGAGAAGTACAACATCGAGAAGGACATTGCCGCATACATCAAAAAGGTGAGTCTTGCCGAGATTTGAGCCGTAACGTTATCGCCGACTCCAAGTGTGTATTTTTGTCACACTCGCATTTTTCCGCTGAGCTCAAGCAACATTTTGTCTCATGTTACAGGAGTTCGATAAGAAATACAATCCGACGTGGCACTGCATTGTGGGAAGGAACTTCGGAAGCTACGTGACCCATGAGACGAAACACTTCATCTACTTCTACTTGGGCCAGGT